TACAAACAAAAAAGTTACCTCAGGGGCCATCCAACGGTAAGTACCCGCCTCAGTAGTCATTTCACCAGATATCTCCTCTCTAGCTAACCCAAAATCTGCAAGCTTAACCCGTTGCTTGTCTTCTGTCAGCAGTAGATTGCCTGAGTAAACATGAAGACTGTTTACTAAAACTTACGGTGATTATACCCAAGTGTCCTAGTGGTAAGGATTCGAGATGTTTGTAAATACCCTTCTTCAAAAGTCTTGATCCAAGTCCCTAAGTTTAAAACTTAATAACTTAAAATTTCTGTCGTATTTTAGAACTAGCTTCGGGATGAGCCTTGAGCGAGCTCCTCAAGAAAATTAGTGGAGGCAGGTTATGAGTATAAATGTATAATGCAAGGAGTAGAGCCGCACCCGGTTATTGAAGAAAAATAAAATTAAAAAAACTGGTGATTGTGGACAGGAAAGATGATATTGTAATGTAGATGAGAAACAGCACAGTACTTGGCTTTAAGTCGCGATGAATGATGCCATTTGCATGCAAGTATGCCATTACTCGTGATAGATCTAGAGCAAAACTTAAGGAAAGTTTCGGATCTGGGGTATCTGGGCGAATGCTCCACAAGTACTTCTGAAGTGTTCCACCTCTCATAAGCTCAGTGATTATCATCAATGTCGGCTCTAGGGTAGCGCCAATGAACTGTTTTAAGTAGATAGGGTATATCAGCAACCATACTCGAGGCATGGATGAAAATCTATGGTTTATAATGCTCCTCTATCATGGTAATCAGAACAAGACAATAACTCAAACTTCCATGGGCAAATTCAAGCCAAGTAATTTCTATGTTTACCAATGAGGAGTGGAACTGAATTTAAATGGAGCCAAACAAAAAAATAAAAAAGAAGGAAAATATCATTTCTTAACTATTAGAAATACTGGACATATGTTCTGAAAAATCAGCTTTACTACACGTGAGATAGTGAAAATAAAGAATTAACTATTAAAGATAGCTAAAGTTCAAGTACAAAGAGTCTATAAATCTTCGAAGTAAACTACATATCATATCACGTCACAAAGAAACCTCAAAATTTAAAGTTTTAAACATATAATCACTAAATATACTTGTAACCCGCCATCGCCATTTTCCCCATCATTAGACTTATAACCCTCCATATTTTCCTCTATAGTTTAATTCTTTTAACATGTGCCTCCACATCTATTAAAGAGAGAGAGGAAGCCTTCTGTTCAAGTTTTTCCTTGCTTCACTTAATTTAACTCTAGTCTATAAGAAAAAATGTTATAATTAAGCAAGAAGCGCACGCTAAACAAGGTGAGGCACCTTATCTTTCTTAAACTTTTTAAAACAATGGAAGGATTGACCAATAAAGAGATCGTGGAGACCTGAAAATCCACAAACACGCAAGTTCCTTTCCTTTTTTCACTCTCTTGCCTTATCCACAACAGCAATACGTATATGACATACAATTGTACAGCATAAAGATTCTAGGACAGAGTTGCATTACAAGTAGTTCAGTATCTTGATAACTAATTAGTGAGAAGTTACAGTGAATTCTAGGAGTTACAACAAGAGAATTACCTGAATAACGTTCTCATGATTCACCCTTGATAGCAATATAACCTCTCTCTGAAATCTTTCCTTTCTTTCAAAACTAATAGCTGAAGTTCTGCTTGGCTGTATAACCTTCACGGCGACAGGCCGGTAATCGTACCTGTACAATGTCAAAAATCTTATCTTAATTGCATTGCACTATGAACAAAATAGTAGCAAAATCGCACCTATTTGATTGAACAGTCCAGATTTGGCCCATTGCGAGGACAGAAGAAACAGATACGACACATTTCTTTGTACAACCACCACGGGTTCTTAATACAAATAATAATAATAAAAGAACCGATGAATTCATCTACAGCGACAAACATTAGGCGTGTATCTTCTTCTTTCTCGCAGACCCAATAATTCATACTAATCGGGGATTTCACACGACAAGAAATAAATAGTTGGAAGAAGAACGCTAAATCGAGAGTAAAATCGTATTCGTGTCAACAATGTGAGAAACCCAGAAAGAAAAAACGACGAAAAGTAAGCGAAAGAGAGAAACCTACAGTCCTTCGTAGACAATGGAGCATGAACCTTCTCCAATGACTTGACCAATCTTCAAACCAGTAGGGTCAATGAGCAAGCTAGGTTCGATCTTGAAGACGAATTCGGAACCCAAATCTTCAAAATCGTCGTCCCCAACGAACCAACCGAAAGCGCCACCAATTGTCTTGAAGGAGTTGGAGCAGGAGCTTTCATCTTCTTCTTCTTCAGAACGGCCCGCCATTTTCGGAGTCTTCCAGTGCTCTCACTTCTCAGTCTATAGCATTGCAAAATCCCAAAAGAAAAAGAGAAAAAAAAAAAAATCAAAAGAAGCGCATCAGAAAATTGTGGGTTGTTCAAGAACAAACGAAACATGAAACGCGAAAAGATTAAAAATTATAATAACGATTAAGAAAAGAGATTAAAAAAATTAAAAATCAGGCTTTAATCGAATGTGATGATTTTAAAAGAATTTTAAAAAGTGGGGACTGAGGAAGCAAAGCCAAAAGAGAGGGAAAAAAAAACCTGTGACGTACACTTCTGGCCTCTGGGGAAACCAATAAAATTTGGTATATTAATCAAAATCAATGATTAATTTTGATTGGTTCATTTGCATCTGGTTACGCTGCGGTGACGCTGTATGGAGAGATTTGTCTTGAGGCTGCCACGTGTGCAGAGTGTAAGAACTCAGATGGTGATTGGTGGAGTCGCGTGGTGTAGGAAATGGCGACATGTAGACGATTGTGGCTCCGGTAATATGGAAATTTTCGGAAATATTTTGGGTGGTTTTGGGGAGTCCGTACGGTGTGCCCCATGTAATCGGGGAGTGGGAGACACGACGTGTCGTTCCTTTGCGTGTGCAACAAAATCCTGTTGGAGCTCCATAAACGTGACCATATTAAAAATCATGGTAAAATTATACAAAATATTTCTGAACCAGATATTTCCATATTATCGCTAAATTTTTAAAATTTCCTTTTAACCTTAGATTTAATTTTCTTTCTGTCAACTTTTTCATTAAAATTAAGATGAAAAAAAAGGCGCAGCAATAAATTGTAAAATAGTGAGACACGTGACATAAGATGGTAAGTTTGAATTATGATTATAAACTTTATGGTAGGTTTAAATTATGTTCTTATTTTTTCGAAAGTTTTCTTTTTAACTCTTTAACTTTTGAAGTTTATAGATTAAATATATACTGGTTTAGAAATGCAATGATATATTAAAAATAATTTAATATAGGAACTAAATAACACAATTCTAAAAGTTCATACACCAAAATTATAATTGAAATACCAGCTAAATATATATATATATTTCAGTATCCAATGTTCGAGAATTTTTCGATTTAGTACTTATTTTTTAAAATTTTTAATTTAGTTTGATGTGTTTTAACACTTTTTTAATTTAGCCAACCTACATTTAAACATTTTTTTTATTTAGTCTTTCATATTTTAAAAGGTTTTAATTTAGTATGTTTAAAAAAAAAGTTTTAATTTAGTCTCTCACCATTGTAAATGTTAAAATTGACTAATGATAAATTTACCTCATTATACTTATGAAATTGAATTGATAGGAGAAACAAATCATCCAAGGAATAAAATTTTTAAGACTCGTTTTGTAACATTTCATTTCTTATTTATAATTTCCAATTTTTCAGAAGCATAAATATTCAGTAACGGTTCATATTTCTCTATTCATATTCTTAAGAATTTCCAAAATTGTGTACAATTTTTAAAAACAACAGAATCAAACCTCTTATTCTTATTCCTATTCTCAATTTTTTTTCTAAAATGATAAAAAGCATTATTTCATTATTGACATATAAAAATGCATAACACATATCACAAAAAAAATATAAATATAATATAAACAATTGAAAATTCAATTTGCATATAAAATTTTTATCTTATTTAAATTTAAAATTTGAGAGAACAATAAACGAGTAACAAACATGTTTATGTTTCTTTTTTCAATCAAAGAGAGAAATTGAAACAAGAAAATGGTGTGAGATATAATTCTATTTCTATTGTTTGAAGATAACATATGATAAAACAATAAATAAGAACATTGTAAAATTAGTTAAACTTCTACTAATTTCTTAGAAATTTAGAGGAAGAATGAGATGTTTTATTTTTTAAATGACATTTTCCTTATCTAAATTCCTACAAACTCACCCGCCATTATGTTATACAAATTTATCGTTAGCTAATTTTAGTATATTTGACCTTAATGTCGTGGCAAGTTGTGTGGACGGTATTTTGACACGATAGGCTGCTAAAATACAAGGGGGAAAAAGGAGAGAGAAAAAAAAGGAAGAAAAAAATAGACACAATATTTGGCATTTTCTTGATTAATGGGATTTTATGAAACAATGTGACAACGTTGTGGTGTTTGTCGATTCTGGCACGGACTCTATAATTGTGGGCTGCACCAACTTAATTTATTGTTCCTCATTACGACACATTAGGATAAAGAATATACAAACATTGAAAAGTATATATTAATTTAATGTTTATTTTTGGGGATTGGAGTTTGATTCTTTAAGCTACGTTTTTCGATAATTAGTAAAATTTAAAAAGCTCTGAATAGAAACTCAAAACTTTGATCTCATCCAAAATTGTTGAATTTAAAAGTAACAATATCAGTTTATTTGTCACTTAAATTGACATGTTTGGATAAGCTTAACTTTTGAAAGTTGACCTAAATTAATTGACAATAATTTTAACATTTTACATGATTTATTGACTAGTAATTATTTTATTTAATATTTTGAATGGATAGTTTATTTCCAAACATATATCCATGGAGTCATGTATTTTCAAAAATAATTACAAAAGAAATAAATTTTAAACAGATAAAATTATTTTTCGCTAACTTGTTTTTGTTTCATGTGATAGGTCGTTCCCATTGATTAAGGTAACATATTTGCAATTATCTTTTTTTTTTTTTTTTTTTAACTATCGACCTTTTATTATGCTAAATTTGCTGCCACACATAAAAAATCTCCATTAAAAGGACCAATGAAAAGAAGGCCCAAAGCCCAAAACCCAACAAGCTTGAGATGCGGACATCTCGTAATACTCTCCCAGTTTACCAAAGCTCTCTCTCTCTTTTAATTTATTTTAATTAATAGTTTATCCAAAGAAATAAATAGGGTTTCAAGCCTTTAATATAAAATTATAATTTCTAAACACAATTTTTATCTTTTAATTGAAAAAGAAAAATACTTAGATGGGTCAGCACCAATTTATTTATTTTTTTTCTTTTTTCCTGCCAGCCACCCTTCAATTTTTTCAATGATCAGCACAAAGATTGCCAAGTTAATATTAACGAATAATTTAAAGTTTTTGAAGATGACACTAGTTAATGGGAGAGGAAAAAATGTACATTAATTAGATTAGGAGTATATCCACAAGGCTAAATATTTTTTTTTTTTTTGGGAACCTACAAGGGTAAATTAGAAGAGTAGATAATTGGTGAAGGGAATTGAAATATAATCTACATATAAAGGTTAAGCCAGTCGATTCCTTGAGTGTAATTGTTGTCTTGCATTTGCATGTAATAGAATACATCTTCATATCCTTCCACAAACAGCTCTCCCAAAAATGGCGGCTGCGCTCCTTCCAAATCCATTGTCACCGACGAGCTTCGGCTGTTGCTCGAAATCCCCTCGCTCCGTTCCACCAATTGCTTTATCTCCCTCTTCGCCTCCATCAATTCCTCTTTCAGTTTCATCATCTGAAAAAAAAAATTTAATCTTTATTTATTGATTCATTTTTTGCTTATATATATATATATATATATATAATTAAGACAGTGTACGGGAGACTGTTATCCCATTTGCCGTTGCCTGAGATGGCAGAAAACCGTACGACGATGAAAACAAACAAAAAAATTCAAGACTTTTTTAAGGAAATTTTTTAAGTTTATTTTTAAGGTGGAATGGCATGGCATTGCGTTCTTCGAGGAAAGCCCAGAGCTGAGCTCATGCACGTTCTCCTTTTTCTTTTCTTTTTTTTTTTAAACCGTATTTTAATTTAATTTGTTCATTTCTTACAAGATAAGGAAATCTAAAACCAGTGTATTTTTGGTAACAGAAAAGTTAACGATAAGGTCAAACAATAACTCGAAAAAAAAGGGGGGGAATTAAACCTGAGATTGGAGATGGGATTTGTCCAAAACGAGGGAATCGTGGGCTTTTTTGAGAGTGGAATATTCGTCCTGCAGCTTCTTGTTCTTCCAGCGGGCACGCCGGTTCTGAAACCACACCGCCACCTGCCGCGGATCAAGCCCCAATTCCGACGCCAGCCGATCCTTCCTCTCCGATTCCAATTTGTGTTCGTTTCCAAAGTTCATCTCCAGAAGCTCCACCTGCTCCCTACTCAGCTTCCTCTTCTTCAGCCCCCCTTCTTTCCCTTTGCTCTTCCTCCGCCGCCGTCTCCCGGCCTTGTTCCCCTCCGCCGCCACCGCACCTAACCCGTCAAGTCAAACAAATTAAATAAACATGACATCGCAGGAGTTCGAATAACACAGAATCACTCGTAACCAAATTAAACCTGGTTGGGGCTGGGGCTGGGGTTGGGGTTGAGGGAGCACTCGCGAGTGAATTTCGGCGTGGTTGTAGAGCTGGGAGATGAGAATTGCGTTGTTGTCGGGTTGTGGTCGGAGATTCACGGCGGCCATTGTCACCGGCGGGTTGTAAGTAGGAGAGGAGTTGGGAATTGGGATGGGTGTCACACAAGGATCACAACTTTATTTATAGGGGGAGGGAAAATGATGCATTTCTGAAGGGATTTGGTATTTCGCAGAATTGCCTCTAAATTTTTGGGTAATCACAGTTGTGCCCGGTTTTATCTTTGTGGGGGGTGTATTGATAAATAGTTATTAATTGGAGATGAGATGGGAATTGGGAATCCCTTTTATTAAATTTAAAATTGCTTGAGAAATAATCATAAAAGAAAGTGTGGCACATCAGGACACGTGATTCGCTCTCATAACACCTATATTTACATTAGGGAAGATATGGATTATTTTTTGTTTTTAAATATTTGGGTGGACTTCAGTCTAGAGACGTCTTTTTCTCTTAATTTTTTAATTTATTGTACATAATTATACTCTTTTTTGGACCGTTGCAGACTATGAAATCCTTTTTATTTCTGTTAAAAAATGGAAAGCTATTTTGAAAATAGTGTTGTAAGTAAACATTTTTAAAATTAAAAGAAATAAATTGTTTTGTAACTCTTTCCCAATGTGAAACTTGAACTATTAACAAATTGTACCCCTAAAATCATGGTTATATTTAAAATAATAATTTTCTAAAAGTATAAATATCAAACTAACATCTTAAAAGTAAATATAAACTAATGAACCAAGTTGAAAGTACATGAATTAAAATAAATATTTTGAAAATACGTGAATTAAAATTGAAAATACGAACAAAACAGTAGTTTAAAATTAAATTAAATATCAAGAATCAAATATAATTGAAAATTTAAAATTCCATATGTTTTATATGTTTTTTTCTAAGTAGTGCAACTTGCCTGCTTCCTAGGAAGACTTCTCACTTACCTTCTTTACCTGAATCTTGCCCCAAACAAATATTAAGGAAAAAAAAGTAAATAACATTTTATATAAAATATTTGTGGACGTCTTCTTTCTTGATGCGGGTAACTTTGATTTCAAAGTCTTTTATTCTGGTTTGAACATTAATTAGGATACCAACCTATAACTTAAAGCAGTAAGTTCAAACCTTCCCTCTCACATGTTCTGCTTAAGAATAAAAAGACCAAATCTTTTATATATTATATATTTTTAATAATTTAAAAAAATTTACTTTCAGCCATATTTTGAAACTAATTGGCATACATATAATTAACTAGATAATAATAAAAACTAAAATTCAAATAAAATTTAAGTTTGGATCCAGTTGAGGTATGATAGTAACAGAAATTGTCATTCGCAAAGCTGCACAAATAGGTCAAGTATCTATCTTTTGCTTACCGTTAATTAATTTTTTTACAAATAGAAATGAGAAATATATAAAACAAAAAAGATATGTTTTTTTTCCTTCAAAAAATTATAAATTTGTTTTAGATGCATCGACATCTAAATAATTTTTTTTTATTTTTTATTTTTTGGATTGAATAACTCGAGTAGAACACAAATAAAAAATGGAAGTTGAGAACATTTAAAACTTGTTTGTGTTGCCAATTTCGAGCATAGTTCAAGGATAATTATATATATCTACTTTCTGTTATTCCTTTATCCTATATTAGCCTTCCATGTGTGTGATTCGCCAGAATATTGGCCATTTAATGTGTAGTCCTTAACCCTTTTCAATACCGATGATATTCGGGTATGAACATTTTTTTTTCTTTCTATTTCTTCTCTTTTTTCTCTATTTTATGGTAATTACTAGCCGTTTATATTTTTCAAAAGTTAAAAATGAGAGATAAAAATTTAAAATATTTTCAAATGAATCCTTAATTTGATAAAATTGTATATATGAGAATTGTTAAGGATAACGGTACCCCAAGTACCTCAAGCACATCCGTAGATCACACCATAACTATATCTTTTAAGACTCACCACTTCTCTATTCGACGCTCGAGGATTCACCAACATACCTAGGTTTTGACCAAGGCTCTAATACCACTTTGTCAAGGACAACGACACTCCAAATACCTCAAATGTCTCTACAATGGTATCATATTGTCCATTTTGGGCATAGCCCTCACGGCTTTGCTTTTGGTTTCACCCAAAAAGCTAACCAATTGAGATAATTGTCCTCTTTTATACATCATTAATTACGTTCTTCTCTAACCAATGTAAGACCTTATTTACATATATATATCTTACGAACCTAACAAGAACGACATTTTTGGTACTACTCAACACATATTTACAAAAAAATGTGGTGCTCCATAGAGAAACATCATGAACAATAAAGTTCTGGAACAATAAAATACTTTATCCAAACAATTTAGAGTGTTTGGAAGTGATCTTGACAAATTAAAATTTTATTTTACGAAAGTTTAAAATAATTTTAAATTGATTTTTAAGATATCATTTTAAAGATGATTTTGAAGAATTAATTATATTTAAATATATTTTTTCATAATCACCCGGAGACAAACACACCATAAATCTCCAACAACAAGAAAAAACAAAAAAGGCAACAAACAATTAATAAAGTTAAAACACAATCATTATACATTAAAAGTAGTAAAAATAGACACATAAGTACGAAAGTGGTATTCGTACAATTACAGTATTATACTGCTCCTACTCCTGCCCACACACAAATTATATATTTATTATTTATCTATATTATGACGTAAGCAGAGATGGGACAGGATTTCCGAGACAAGAGAAATAGA